AGGGGGAAAAGTTCATCAAAATAGAAAAGAAATATTTTTCCTATGTGTGTGTTTGATTTCTGACATCTGCACATTATTGGAAATAGGTTTATTTCCATTAATAGCAATATTAGCCTCAAAACTGCTTATGGAAAAATTACAGAGCTGCTTGAAAGTCTGCCAAATACCATAACTGAAATACAACCTTTGAAATTTTAGGCATTAATATAGTATACACAAATATTTAATGCAATTAATGCTATAATTTTAACATTCTTATTTCCAGTATACCATAAAAGTGCTAAATGTGTTTCTGTCCCTCAGATTTTCTTTTTCTCAAGCACACACATACAAAAAAAAAAAAAAAATCTACCAAAAAAAATAAAAATTTCCCATTTTAAGACATTCCCGACTTCCATTCTAAATTTTTTAACTGGACAAGTAGAGGATTTGACCCCAAAGTAAAGCAGCATCAGAAGAAAAGAGGGGTGGCAAAGTCCATCTGCATTTCTGGGTCATTGCCCATATATGGGCTCCATGCCCCATGCCAGAGATGACTCCACATTCTGCATGAAAAATGCTACCCATCCAAGCATTCATTTGAGGAAGCAGGGAACAGCTCTACAGAGGTTGACTTTTTGAAACTTGAGATGTATGTAAGAAAAGATGTTGCTAGTTGGTTTGTGAACCAAGAAATAGAGATGGACATTGACACCAGAAGAAGTTTCTGTATCTTTCTTGGTAAACATCAGATAGAGCAGAGTGGTTCCGAATTACAATGAAAGAGTAAATGAAAAACAAAGACATGTCTGACAATGTTCAGGATACAAAAGTAGAAAACATTAAAAAAGAAGAAAACTATTATTTTACAACTTAGCAAACTTCTACATCATAAGTTTCTAAAGTATTATATGGAGATTTTCAGTCTTCTCCATGAATTAGATTGGTTAACAACCTCAAGATTTTATCATCAATGGCATCTGAATCTAAAACCTAATTTAGATTTAATTTAATTTAAGTTTAGATTAAATTTTAGATGCAGGATTTGTGGCAGATAAAGTTCTAAACTTTTGAAGAACTGTCAAATTTGTCAAGGGTATCCTAGGAAAATTATAAGATTCTACCTGCACTTTTCCAGCTACTTTGTGTCAATGCTTCATTTTCTAAAAGGTAATCAAATAGCATGTAATTATGAACATTGCATATAATAACTATCACTGAAGTACTCCATAATTATAATAAATTGTTTTTATTTAGTGTATATCTGTTCTCATGACCTTTTTTAAAAATAAATGTGTACCCCTGACAATGCTTAGTAATTGTGCAGTGGAAAGCAACTGATCATTCTTAATTAAGTTTCAAATACATTGCTTCACACAGCTGCACATGCATGTGTACTAACCTAATTGTTAGTTGCACCTGTTCAAAGTTAGAAATATTTTAAAGAGCTCATAGCAAGAATAGCATTTTCAAGTGTTAAACTGTTGAATGTAAATCTAGACTTTCTTTCAATAGTTTATGATACACACTTTGTGCCACATAGAAGTCTAATGTACAAAAATGTAGGCGATTTTGAGTTTCCTTACTTGAAAACAAAGCTGTCTTTTCAATCTAAAATTAGCTATGCTCTTTTATATTATAAGTGAGTGATTTTTCACTGAGAAATATCAGAGTAATTTTTTCAAACCAATAAAAAAAGCCAAATGTTCATAAGCTACTGAAAGTTGCAAATAGTAAATAAAAAGTCAAATGGTTCTTGTCCTATACAACATATACCACTGGAAATGCAGTGATGATTTTTTTTTCTATCTGAAATCTTCACTTTCTGAGCATTAAGGACAGCAATGATAAAAAGAAAATTACCTTCTCCAGATTATGAGCTTGAACTCTGGATTCTGCACATGGAGTAAACCTGTTGCCAGAGATCACATCCTTTTTTGTAGGAAACACCCTAAAATCTGAAGTTGGCATAACCATACAGCTCAAAGGTTTTAATTTATTATATAGAGGTATAGACACTTTTTCATAAAAATGTAAGATTGTAATAAATCTCTATGGTATGGAATTCTAATTTCTTGACTTATAAACGGACTCCCTGATTTTCTTAAAGAATATGTTTATCAACACTTGTAGTCTGCCAAACATTACATTAAATGCACATTTAATATAATTAAAAGCAAAGATATAGAATCCTGACAGATAAATTTCTCTGGAGCATTTGTCTCTGTCCATTGCTTGTTAAATGGTCAAAATACTGTGTCTGCTCTGATAATAACCTTATGAGTAAGGTCTCCATCTCCACAATACCAAAAGCTACTTCATCCTCTCCTAACTTCAGTTGCAAATTGATACAGATGTAAATATTCCTTTAAGTTTAATTAAAATACAAATTCTCTGCTTTCAGGATTGGAGTTAATGTTTTCCGAATCGTAATAAAGCTACTTAAAGAAACTTAATAAAGTTTCTATCTTAGACTATCTTTGGCTTTAATTAATTTTAATAAATCTAAGATTTTTCTATACAGCTACAAAAAACAAAGACTCCAAAATATTACAAGAGCACACACTAACCACTTCAGAAGTAAACAAAACTGGATGAACTTTTGTGTTACTCAACAGTACAAGAGTCATAACGTAGTCTGGAACATTGATTTATTTGTAAAACAATCTTTACTCATAATAGCTCAAAGGCACAAAAAGTTTTTAAAAATCTATAAAGAGCAAAAGAAAAACATACATACCCACCTATATTTTAGTACAGTGCTTTGCAAACATTAACTTGCAAAATAATTATTTTATTTAAAACGAAATACTATATTTCTAAGCAGCAACAATTACCAAGAATCTCTGAAGTCCTTTAAGTTGTGATGATTTCACCCTATCAAACCAATTGGATTTTCTTCGTCCTTTGTTTTTTGCTCTGCATCTGCATTAACATGGCTGCTAATTATATTAGCTTGGTGGCACATAAAGTCTGAATGGAAAAAATCACATGATTCTTATAGAACATAAAATACTCCCCAGGATTCAAATGTATACTTGCTTAGATTGAACACTCCTGTTTTACTGCTACCTTGATCTTGTTAGAGAACTCAGCTATGAGTCAGAATTTCTGTTTCATAAGTGAAGTAGCACCTCTCCAATACACCACTGCATGTATGCATGAATGTGCTCAAGCATGTGTGCCTGTACACACACACATGAACACACACAAACACAAAGAAACCTTTGGCTTTATCATGCTACTTTGTATATTTAGCTTCCCCATTGGTATATTTATGTTTTTCTAAAATTAGGTTCTTGAGGAGTTTATATTCATCACGCAAAATGTTATATAGATCTAATACATACATTTGCCATAACAGAGCCCTACTATATTAAATGATTAAAAGTTAAATCACATTTTTAAGATTTAAAAATTTTTGGAAAAAGCATAAGAATGCTCTACCCACCCACTCATTCTTACAGTTTTATGCTTTCACATAGTGAATCAGCAAATGTATTCATTTTTGAATCATATAAAAATAAGAATGTTTTGATAACATGTATACAGTTTCACACAGTTGGCCTAATGAGTGGTTTAACGAAGTAAACTCCGTCATTGTTATAGTTAGTTTTATCATTAAGAGTAAAAATCCTTTATTGCAAAACTTATAAGAATCTGTGGTACAGAAAATAAACTGGTTTACACATCATTGAGAAAATGTTACATTCTTAAAATTATATTTATAGTTCCATCTTCTTTTTATTACAACCAAGTACATGAGTGCATAATCCAGAGATCAAAATAGACATCATTAGATAACTTTCTTGGAAAAGAAAGACATCCTGAGACAATATACAACAAAATGCACTGCTTCAGCTAAATATTAAAGAAAGAAATACAACAAACACTCGTGGGCTTCACGACAACTGATAAACAATGAAGAACACTTAAGGAATTCTTCTAACAGTTTCAATAGCAGTCCTTGCTCTTTTCAACACTTTACTGATTGAACTCTCAAAAAAATCTCCTTCAGTCTTATAGTCCCGTCAGCCTTTATGAACAATTGTTGGAAATATAGGTGACTAGTAAGATTACACTTTCTAAGGAAAGCTATTTGGTGACAAGAGTGAGCAAGTACCTCCTACCTCAAATTAGCCACTTACAATGGTATATTTTTCACCTCTAAACTCTCTCCTCAGCCTCTCCTCCCATTGCCCTTAGAGAATTGAAATTCAGAAACATGACATTTTCCATTATTTGTTCCTTGCCTCTTTGCAACTGTACAGCATTTCTCAAAAAGTACATATAATTCTCCATCCTATGGAATCAGACAACAGAATCTATTTCAGGAACAATAACACACATAATGTAAAACAGAACATTTTTTCCTTGGAATTGTCTGTAATAATAGTGATTTAAAGGTTACTGGTTCAGTCCATGGCAATGGTTGTTGCTGAGTTCATCTAAGTATTTCTCTTCAATCTACATACTTTTAAAACTCAATGTGGCTTCTAGATCTGACTGCCGTAAGTATATCATTTGCCCTATACAGTGGTTTTTAGAGCACTATACTTATTAGACAACATATTCCTAGAAAAATAGCACATGTCAATAAGGAAACAAAGATACTGCAAAATTAGTATATAGAAGAAAAGTCCAAAATTCCACATTTCTCTGTTTAACACCTGTGTAGTAAATTGTATGTGATAATCACGTTGTTACACTAATAGGAATGCAAAGCATAAAGGAACAAGGACTACATCTTGCTTTGCTTAAAGAAATTAAAGACAACAAGTTTAACCCGCACCTGACAAACTGTCCTCAGAGGGATACAAATAGGTGGGGGTGGAAAGGCTCACCTCTCCTGTACCCTAGAGTGCGTTTCCCTGAAATCATTTTAAATATAGGCAATATATCTGTCACCTTCTCTTTTATTTTTTTCATCCATTCTAGTCAATGGCAGACCCTTTACTGTACTCCCCTGCCCACTATCTCAAAGACACGTTACAGAATAAAAGGACCCAAGTGTCACTTACCAGTTGCATGCCACAGATAAAGATAAGCGTGCACCTGCCACTGCAATAACCCATGGTTTCCGAGACCCCTGCCACAGCCAGACTGTCCCACGTCGGCCACCGTCGAGCCCCCACTTTATCCAATCAGATCGCGGGGAAGGACAGGCAGACCTGCCGAGGGCTCGGGGGCTCCGGGCTGCCGCTGCCAGCGTCCTGGGAAGTGACAGGCATTAGGACCTGCTGGCGCGGCGGCGGCGGCGGCAGCTCCAGCCGCGCCCGCCACACATACCTTCACTCGCTCGGTGCACACGCCGCGCCGCGAGCAGCGCCGCCTGCGGAGACGCGCCCAGGGCCCGCAGGGGCAGCAGCGGCAGCCTGGCAGCGCCGCCGCGCCCTCGGGCATCTGGCCCCCGAAGTTTCGCCCCCGCCGCTCCCCGCGCCGGCCCGCCGCCCGACGCGCGCTCGCCCCGCGCTCTCGCGCGCCGGCTCCGGGGCGGTGGAAGCGCGCGGCGGCTGCCCGCCTCCCTGCGCAGCCCGCGCCGCTCTGCGCCCTGCGTTGCGGCCGGCGGCGGCGGGCGGGAGCGGGGCGCGGCCGGGCGGGGCGTCCGGGCTCGCGGTCCCGGCGGCGGCGGCGGCCGCTGCTGCGCGCGGTGATGCGGGGTCCGTGCGGCGTCCCGGCAGCGGCGCGGCCCCTCCCCTCGCCCAGATGTGCTAACCCTCCTCCTACTACAAATCCTTCGACCCGCTCCCGCCGCCCCTCCCGCGGGGCCAACTTCTCCGCGGTCGGCGGGGGCCGCTGCCCTGGCGGCTGGCGGCAGTGTCTAGGCGGGAAGGAGCGGCGCGAGAGCGGCGGCGGTGGCTGTGGGGACCACGGGGCCTCGGGGCTAGGAGTCCGGGCGGCATGTCCGTGGCTGGCTGGGCTGGCGTCGGTCCTGCCCCCGCAGCCGAGCCCGGAGCACCATGCGGGAGCGAACCGCGTGTGTGAGAGTGCGTGTGCGCGCGCGCTTGGGGGAGAAGGGACGAGAGGAGGGTTCGGGAAGGGGGGGTGATAAAATAGGGGTGCAGCCGAGGCATCCCGACTGTCCGGAAAGCTCGAGTGGCGGAGAGGCCGGAGGGAGTGAGGAGAGCGGGTGCCAGCGGCCTCCGACGCACTGCCCGCCGCCCGGCACCCGGCTCCGGGGAGTCTGAAGGGCCGGACACGGGGAGCTACGGAGCAGACCCCGCCTGGGGGAAGGGACCGACGTGCTGCTGGAGTTGGGAAATTGGGGAACCGGAGGGAATAGGGATGCAATGAGTTGCTGTTGCTGCTTCAAAATGTTGTTTGTTTTCACTCAAAATATGAAAGGATGAGAGACTATTTTAACACTCAATTACTTCAGCCTCACGTACCTTCCCGCTTGGTGTGGATTCTTGGTGGTGCTGTTCCAGCCCTCACTCCGGAGCGCCGGCCTGAAGCTGTGGAGCGGCCGCTACCTGCACAGAGACCTGCTTCGGAGCCCGCTGCTGCCACCTGCGGGCGGAAAGCTGAAGGGCGAGACACGCTGGCCCCGGTGGCCGCCCCTGGGGCGTGGGTATTTGGGATCCAAGGCCCAGGTTTCTTCCATAGCCCTGGGCAGCTAGTGAAAGCATGCCTAACTTTGCCAAGAAAGGACGTTGTGTCAAGATCCACTGGGAAACTGAGTCATTGGGATGAAGTGCCGTGATTGATAAGAGAACAGTTTAGGGAGGCAAATAGCCAAGCATCTCCCCAGCACCCCTCTTAAAAGATTGAGACTGATGAAACCACATCAAGCAAAGAGCTTTCTGTAACAAAGAGAATTTGGCCCCACTGAGAAAAATGGCATTTGTGTAGGATAAAGTTATGCTGGGAACCACAAATAAGGATCCTAAATGATTTCTTTCTTTGAATAAATATTATGAAGTATCAGAATGACTAAATAGAAGGAAATTGAATAATGCATAGGGACTCTTCTCTAGAAGCCTGGAACTGAATTTTTAGAAATGATTTGTCAATCCTAGAGAGCCGAAAGGGATTTGATTTGTTAAATTTATGGAAGACAGATATTTTATTACTGTAATGAGAATGTCTGCTTTAATCGCACCATTTGTAAAGGGACTTTTCTTCTGAAAAGTGTTTTTCAATATTTAATGAAATTCCCAAAGTGGGATATGTTGTTTTACCCACTGCAGGGGCTGCCAGGTATTAGCTGCTCCACAACCTCTGGTGAAACTGAAGCCAGAGGTATATAGTGGTCAATGTTTCTTTCAGTTGTTATTGCATTGCCAAGCAAAGTTGTAAGTTAATGCTAAATATTGAAGAGGCTACTGCCATATCGTCAAAAGCATTGTATCTATTACCTCTTTAAATTTATCATAGCAACAGCACATTTATGTGGATCCATGCATAATCCTGCAGTGGTTCCCTGCAACCAGCAACAGCCTGAGTAGTCTTTAGGCTGGATAGCTATAAGGAAAGCATAGTGCTATCTGTAGCTGACTCTAGCAGTGTCCCTCCCACAGTCCTTGGACTGATATCCACCTTCTTTTGTAAGCAGTGGGATTGTTTCCTAGCCACAGGAGGTGCTAGGCTGGACATCGATATCCTCACCCCATGAGTGTTGGTGGATAAACACCTAAGCTTCTTCAACCCACAAATGGAAAACCCTAAGACATGCTCTAATCTACGCCAATAATGTCCCCACCAGGACTGAACCCTAGTTGCTCATGGTGGTTAAACCACTCACTCATTCATGCACTCTGAATTGTCTTCCTTCCCTTCTGTGCCTCGTTTTCCTACTCCTTTACCAGTGTTTCTTGGGATCGCCTTTGAAATAAACCACTTTACTCAGATACTATGTCAGGCCCTGCCTCTTAAGAAACCCAATCTAAGACAATCTTCAAAGGCTTTTATTCCTGATCTGACATCATTGACACAGTTTTCGCAGAAGAGTGAACCACAAACTTTTAATGTTGAGCATTTACTGTGTGCCTTCTGTGCTAAACCCACATCACCTCATTCTTTACAGGAAACCTGTGAGTTAGTACAATGCTCATTTTAAAGACGTATAATAGAAACAGAGTTAGAGAAATCAAGTATTTTGATTCACAGGCACACATGTTCTTGGTGGCAGAATTAGAGTTTGAAGGCATATTTGTGGGACACGAAAATTCACTTTTCCAAATCACTGTGTTATACTCCCTTATTGATATTTTACTATACTTCTTGATCACTCTTGAAATTCTATACAAAAGTGATGACCAAAATATTTAGAAGAATGATCACACATTTTTGTTATTTCTAAAGTAAATTCACATCACATCCTTTTGATACAATATAGGCAATGCCTGGCTTGTGAAAAGGTACCCTAGTTAGGGATGCAATTCCATTCCTTAAGGTGGCTGTATACTTCCTGTTCCATTTTCTGTTATTCTTGGAACTGACTGCCTTACTGGAAGAAACTGAAGAGAAAATCCCAACTGTTCCATAGAAGTACATTAAGGAGAAATATTTGTCCAATTGGAAAGTTGATTGCATTCTCATTTAGAAGTAAGGTCATAAACCATTTAGCAGAGCTAAGGGCTTTTGTTGACTAGTCTGATGACATAACTATTGTGAATTACCTTGTTTCTGTGGGGAAAATGTGCTACATATTCCACACCTCCATCTGGCTCACCTTGGCATGCTGCTTTAAAGTAGTTTTCAAGGTTGTTTCACACCTATTATCTCATTTATCTCTCAGAACAACTCATGGAATGCAGTAGGTACAGTAAGCCAGTCTTAGACTGCTAACACTCATTCACTTCAGCTACAACAAAAGCTCAAGCCTGGCTTTGCAACACCACTGAACAATTTCACTGAGTTTTACTCAGTCCCCATTTGTTATAATTTAAAAACATAATGGCAACAATTATCTTTATAATCACAAGACCAACAGGTTTAGTTCATTGAATATTTTATACAAACCTGGATTTTTTTTCTTATTTTGATAATAATAGCTATTAGGGAAATAATAGTATTTTTAAAATATTTATAGCATATAAAAGGAAGAAAATAATTACTCATTTCTTCCACACAGAGATAATCTTTGTTATTTTTATATAAGCCATCTTTTTATAAAAATAAGATTATATCACACGTAACATATTTTAACCTGGTCTTTTTCTTCAGTTAACAATAGATCAAAAACATATTGAGGTTATTAAGTATTAAGCTCTTGGACTCTGCAGCCAGATGATTTAATTTTATTATCCAAGCTCTGTCATTCACCAACTATATAATCTTAGGCAAATCACTTAACTCTGTGCTCTAGTTCCCTTATCTATAAAACCAGAGGAGTAATGGTGTACAGATATCATAGGGTTATTGGGAGGATTAAGTAAATGTCAACATATGAAAAGCTTTTGGAACAATGCCTAGCAACTAGTTAATTATTATTGTTACCATTGTTCTGCATACAACATAGCTTTAATGACTATATAAAATGCCAAATATCTCAATTATTTAATTCATATCTTTCTTATACCTATACCTTTTGTGATGGGCAGAATGATGGTCCCCTAAATATCTCCACACTAGAACTCTTGGAACTTGTGAATATGCTACCTCAAATGGCAAAAAAGACTTTGCAGAAGTGATTAAGTTAAGAACCTTGAGATGGGGAAAGTATGTTGGATTATCAGAAGGGCCCAATTCTAATAACATGAGGCTTTAAAAGGAGAGAATTTTCCAGGCTGGGAGGGAGATGGATTTGTAGATGTAAGAAGGCGACCCTGAGTCAAGCAATCTAGATGTCCTCTAAAAGCTAGAAAAAGTACAGAAACAGAATCTCCCCTATAACTTCCAGAAGGAACACAATTCTATTCCCTAATAAAATTATTCAATGACACATTCTATTGTATAGAACCATTGCAATAAAAATCTTCTTATCCATTTGACCAAAATGCTGGCCTTCACAGAAATATTAGAAACATATTAAGCCAAGATGACAGATTATTCCATAAAAAGGACCAGCTCTGGAGTTATGATCAATGACTGACCAGTCATATTTCTGTATTAAATACTACTTGGGTTATATCCTTCTAAATTAAATGATTTTAAGCTTATAATTTATGTAAATTTACTTATCAAGTAGAGTGCCATGAATATACTGAGATCTCAGTACCTATTTGCTGGTGATCATTTTCATACATTTACTTGAGTATTTTTAACATTTCAATCATATTTAATATAGGACACTCTAATTATGTTAATACAATTATTTTACAAATGTAAGAACCTTAGTTATAATATTATTTTAGTAAGTTATCTCAAAAGGACATGCAATTTTAGGAATGAAAATATTAGTCAGAAATTATAAAAGCCATATTTTAGTCTCTTCCTTTTTCTCTGATTTGTGCTGACATTTTTTAACAGGGATAATTGAG